ACATCATAATGGTGATGGTCATGACATCATAATGATGATGATGACATCATAATGGTGATGGTCATGACATCATAATGATGATGATGATGACATCACAATGGTGATGATGACATCATAATGGTGATGGTCATGACATCATAATGATGATGATGATGATGACATCACAATGGTGATGGTCATGACATCATAATGATGATGATGACATCATAATGGTGATGGTCATGACATCATAATGATGATGATGACATCATAATGGTGATGGTTATGACATCATAATGATGATGATGACATCAAATGGTGATGGTCATGACATCATAATGATGATGATGACATCATAATGGTGATGGTTATAACATCACAATGATGATGATGACATCATAATGGTGATGATGACATCATAATGGTGATGATGACATCATAATGGTGATGGTTATGACATCACAATGATGATGATGATGATGACATCATAATGGTGATGGTTATGACATCACAATGATGATGATGACATCATGATGGTGATGGTTATGACATCACAATGATGATGATGACATCTCAATGGTGATGTTGACATCATAATGGTGATGGTTATGACATCACAATGATGATGATGACATCACAATGGTGATGATGACATTATAATGGTGATGGTTATGACATCACAAGGATGATGATGACATCATAATGGTGATGGTTATGACATCACAATGATGATGATGACATCACAATGGTGATGATGACATCATAATGGTGATGGTTATGACATCATAATGGTGATGATGACATCATAATGGTGATGGTTATGACATCATAATGGTGATGATGACATCATAATGGTGATGGTTATGAAATCACAATGATGATGATGATGACATCATAATGGTGATGGTTATGACATCACAATGATGATGATGATGATGACATCATAATGGTGATGATGACATCATAATGGTGATGTTATGACATCACAATGATGATGATGACATCATAATGGTGATGATGACATCATAATGGTGATAGTTATAACATCACAATGATGATGATGTTATCATAATGGTGATGATGACATCATAATGGTGATGGTTATGACATCACAATGATGATGATGATGACATCATAATGGTGATGATGACATTTTAATGGTGATGGTTATGACATCACAATGATGATGATGACATCATAATGGTGATGATGACATCATAATGGTGATGGTTATAACATCACAATGATGATGATGATATCATAATGGTGATGATGACATCATATTGGTGATGGTTATGACATCACAATGATGATGATGTTATCATAATGGTGATGGTTATGACATCACAATGATGATGATGACATCATAGTGGTGATGATGACATCATAATGGTGATGGTTATGACATCACAATGATGATGATGATGATGACATCATAATGGTGATGATGACATCATAATGGTGATGGTTATGACATCACAATGATGATGATGACATCATAATGGTGATGGTTATGACATCACAATGATGATGATGTTATCATAATGGTGATGGTTATGACATCACAATGATGATGATGATGATGACATCATAATGGTGATGATGACATCATAATGGTGATGGTTATGACATCACAATGATGATGATGATGACATCATAATGGTGATGATGACATCATAATGGTGATGGTTATGAGATCACAATGATGATGATGATATCATAATGGTGATGATGATATCATAATGGTGATGACATCATAATGGTGATGGTTATGACATCACAATGATGATGATGACATTATAATGGTGATGATGACATCATGATGGTGATGGTTATGACATCACAATGATGATGATGATGACATCATGATGGTGATGATGACATCATAATGGTGATGATTATGACATCATAATGGTGATGATGACATCATAATGGTGATGATGACATCATAATGGTGATGGTTATGACATCACAATGATGATGATGACATCATAATGGTGATGATGATGACATCATAATGGTAATGATGACATCATAATGGTGATGATGACATTATAATGGTGTTGATGACATCATAATGGTGATAGTAATAACATCACAATGATGATGATGACATCATAATGGTGATGGTTATAACATCACAACGATGATGATGACATCATCATCGTTGTGATGGTTATGACATCACAATGATGATGATGACATCATCATCGTTGTGATGGTTATGACATCACAATGATGATGATGATGACGTCATCATCATCGTTGTACCACATCGTCATGATTGTGCTTCACTTTGGACCTGGGCTGTAATTTTTTTTTTGGGGGGAAGCGAGCGCACAGAGTGGGGAGAGAGAGAAAGAGAGAAAAAAACATTAATAACAACTTTGATTTGACAAGAAAATTCCTCCACCCACGGAGGGCTTTCCCTCTAAGCCCTCTCACATTTTCTGTATCGCCTTGAGGATTTAGCGCGGATTTAAAATTAGGGCTATTAGCATACAAATGAAAGTCCAAATTAGCCCCTGCCATCGGCGCTGTGTGAGCTTCTCCTGCCATGCTAACCCAGTGTTTATACGTAATTGCACAGTCCATACTCTGCATCATCATCATCATCATCCACCATCATCACCCACAACCTCCAATTAGCACGGTTGGCTACGTACGGCGCGAAAGAAGTTCAACATACATACAAACATCATCACTTGCAGCAGCCACAGCAACCACAAGCCCACGTCTAATCCACTGCTGGATGAAACGCTCCCCCATCGCGGCTCCACGGAGTGCGACAATCCACGTGCGCGCAACGACACCGATCCCATCGCTCCATCTCTCCGCAGCGGACGTACCTGTCCCATTTCTTGGGCTGCCAGTCCACAATTATCCTCGATTGTTGGACGTCGTTTTATTTTTCCTCTGGCCATCGATGCATCTTCTGTCCAAGCCACAGTTACTGCTCGTGGCGGTTGCAAGGGATGTCTCTAACCGGATTATATTATTTTTAATCCTCGTAATTTTTTTTTTACTATAAACACATTTTTTATTTTACCAGATGTAGGCACACTAAGAAACGACCTGGCTATCACAGATGACAGATCAACGAAGTCGCTCATCGTCATCACGTGGAAATAAATAGCAGCAGAAAAATCCACGCGACCACGGCGAGAGAGACACGCAAACTCCAAATATACAGCAGCAGGCGTCAGGGTCAGGATCGAACTCACGACCTCCTGTATACCAGGCGAGGTAGTTAACATCTCCTAGCCACCGTGCCCCTTTGTCTCTCTCTCTCTTTCTCATCATCATCACGGTGGCTAGGAGATGTTAACCACCTCGCCTGGTATACAGGAGGTCGTGGGTTCGATCCTGACCCTGACGCCTGCTGTTGTATATTTGGAGTCTGCGTGTCTCTCTCTCTCATCATCATCATCACGGTGGCTAGGAGATGTTAACTACCTCGCCTGGTATACAGGAGGTCGTGGGTTCGATCCTGACCCTGACGCCTGCTGTTGTATATTTGGAGTCTGCGTGTCTCTCTCTCTCATCATCATCATCACGGTGGCTAGGAGATGTTAACTACCTCGCCTGGTATACAGGAGGTCGTGGGTTCGATCCCGACCCTGACACCTGCTGTTGTATATTTGGAGTCTGCGTGTCTCTCTCTCTCATCATCATCATCACGGTGGCTATGAGATGTTAACTACCTCGCCTGGTATACAGGAGGTCGTGGGTTCGATCCCGACCCTGACGCCTGCTGCTGTATATTTGGAGTTTGCGTGTCTCTCTCCCCGTGGTCGCGTGGATTTCTCTGCGGGTCCTCCAATTGCTCCGTCCACATTCAGAATCACCGTGCATTGCGGAGTATTTGGCTGCTAGAAATTCCCACGTTGATGATATGGATGATAATAAGCCACTACGTTGAGCCATCATTTGTGGCCAGGTCGCTTCTGAACAAAAGAGCTAAACGGTACAGTATAGCACATTCGGTTTTACCTGGTTAAATAAAAAATACAGTTGTTAGTTTGCGCTTAATAGCTCTGCTGCCCTCTGCTGCTGCTGCTGTTGCTACAACGAATGTTCCTCGTCGACTAAACCATTTCACGATTTCGCAATTCCACACGCCAGGGGCTAGCCGTGATACGGCGATCCTATGACACGTGGTGGATGCGATGTGAAATTGGATTGACAGTGAGGAGCTTAAATTTTGATTTAAAGCTTTCGTGACTGCAGAGATTCATCTCCTTGGTTCTTTCGGTAAAGTCACGTAGAAGGGAAGTAATAAAATAATAAAAATTAAACATAATAAAATAATTCCCAGGTTTGGTCTTCACCTGAGGACGACTGCTTGCGTTGTGGCCGAAACGTCGTGAGAATTATTTTGCGTTGTGGCCGAAGCGTCGTGAGAATTATTTTATTATGTTTTATTTTTATTATTTTATTACTTCCCTTCTACGTGACTTTACCGAAAGAACCAAGACAATCCTCAACCCATTCCCTTTAATGTTTTGCACCCAGATCCAGGTGCTAATCGCTAACAGCGCTTGCCTCAACAAGTCTGATAACACTGGTCAACACACTTTTTCTGGCATAAGGTATTCCAGTGGTTTGGTGTGCTGATTCCAAATCTGGCATCACATCAGGTTTTTGAGATATCAAATATTGCATTTTCAATCAAAACTGCAGAAGAAAAATATTAAATAAATGTGAATATCTACATAAAATGATATTATAAACACACTATCCTAAAAATACAGCACCATATTTTAACACTAAAGCAGTCACTGACTCGCAACAACTTGCAATCATAAGTGACAGAGTTCATTTCGGGTAAAATCAATGAAAATGGGGGTATGCCGATAGCATAAAATGAGATGTGATAGAGCAAATCTGAGATCAGATTTGGAATCAGCACCCTGAAATTAGTCTAAAACAGCTGCAAAAGTCCAGGCCAGAAAAATAAAATGTTTTGTTGTTGACCAGTTGTAAGGCTACACGGGGATGTTTGTCTTTGTTGTGTGCAGAAGTCCCCTTGCACGGCAACGGACAGAAGGGAGAGAAAGGACAGAATGGAGAACCTGGCCCGCGGGGGCTTCCAGGCCCAGCCGGAGTCCCGGGGAAACCGGGAATAGGCCTCCCCGGCGCTCGAGGTCCTCCAGGAACGCACGGCCCTCCGGGATACACCGCCATGGCCAAGCCGGGCCTACCGGGTCTTCCCGGAAAGCCAGGCCTGAAGGGTCTGCCCGGGCCCAATGGAGACGTAGGCCCTCAAGGGGAGCCCGGATTGCGGGGCGCGCCAGGAATCTCAGGAATGCCGGGAAAGCCGGGCATTGCCATGCGTGGGAAGCCGGGGCCGAATGGAATCCAGGGTGTGCCCGGTGGGAATGGCCCACAGGGTCCGAAAGGCAACCAAGGAGTTCCGGGAGTGCCGGGGTTCAAGGGCGAGAACGGGAATGGCAGGCCTGGCGTCACGGGCCCAAGAGGATTGCCCGGACCTTCGGGTCCTCCTGGAGGGGCCGGAATTCCGGGAGTTGGAAATCCAGGGCTTGATGGGATTCCAGGCCTCAAGGGACTGCCCGGACTTCCCGGCGATAAAGGACTTCCCGGGCCGAACGGCCCTCCCGGATTGCAAGGCAAGCCAGGTTTCCCGGGTCCAGCTGGAGTGGGAAAACCGGGACCGGACGGGAAGCCTGGCCACCAGGGCATTCCCGGACTAAAAGGCGACAAGGGGCAACCGGGCGCACCGGGTCTCCCGGGAATACCGATCAATGGCAAGCAAGGCATGCCCGGCGGGCGCGGAGACCGGGGGCCACCTGGAGGCCTTGGAATACCGGGCCCCAAAGGCGAGAAGGGTTTCAACGGCGTTCCCGGCTTGAACGGCCCACCGGGAGAGAAAGGCCCCACAGGGCCACCGGGAGGCCGTGGGATGCCAGGGCAGGGCGGTATTCCGGGAGCAAAAGGAGACATCGGAATGCCGGGCCCTGTGGGTGCCAAGGGATACGGCGGGGGTGTCGGTCAACCGGGCCTTCCGGGTCCCATCGGCCTTCCCGGCGACGATGGGAAACCGGGCTTCCGCGGCCCCACCGGTCCATCGGGGCCCAAGGGGGAACAAGGACACAAAGGCCTTCCCGGCTTCCAGGGACCGCCGGGCCCCGTGGGACCGATGGGAAACCCGGGACCGTCGGGGCTGCCCGGCCCTCGCGGCATCACCGGCAATTCCGGGTCGCCGGGCGGAGTGGGGCCCATCGGCCCGCCAGGCCTGCCCGGAGCAAAGGGCCACCCGGGCCCGGTGGGGAACCCCGGGGCGCCGGGCATGGGCAAGACGGGCCCGGAGGGCCCCACGGGGCCAGCGGGAAAACCGGGCCAGCCGGGACTCATCGGCCGACCCGGACCGCCGGGCCCTCCGGGAGCGCCGGGGAACGCCGCGCAGCTCGTCGGCCCCAACGGTCTCGGCGTGTCGGAGCTCCGGGGCTCGGCGAACGGCCACGGCGTGGACGAAGGCCCCCGCCCGGGCGCGTCGGGCAAGGTCGAGGGCTCGCTCGGCCGCTTCTCGGCCTTCTCGGCACGCCTCGCCGAGCCCTTCCCGCAGGCCGGCGTGCCCATCCGGTTCGACGGCGTCATCTACAACACGCAGCGGCACTACAACCCCACGACGGGCGTGTTCACGTGCGTGCTGCCGGGGGTCTACTACTTCGCCTACCACGTGCACGTGAAGGGCAGCAACGCGTGGGTGGCGCTCTACCGCAACGGCGAGGCGGTGATCTACACCTTCGACGAGTACAAGAAGGGCTTCCTGGACCAGGCGTCGGGCAGCACTGTGCTCGAGCTGGGTGCCGGCGACCGAGTCTGGGTCCAGATCCCGTCGGGCCAGGCCGACGGCGTGTTCGCCGAGAAGCTCGTGCACTGCACCTTCTCCGGGTTTCTGCTGCATCCCATGTAAAGGGTAGAGGCCAGGGTGGGGAGGTTTTAGGGGGTAAGGGGTGGAAGGTGGGTGGGTGGGGGCGTTTAACCCGAGCCTTCGTACAAGATGAGAGGAGGGGCTACCGTCCACCCACCTCCACAATACCGCCCCCCCCGTCCTGTCCATCCTATCTCCACAATGGGGTCCGGTGGATAGGTGGAATTTGGAGGGGTTCCTCCTGCCCTGCCACCCTCCCACCGCGGTGTTCTGTCTCGGGCCCTGCAAGGAACCACCGGGCGGCCCTGTGTGGCGATTACGTGGAGTCGAACTTGGTCTGGAGGTCGTTAGGTGAAGTGGGGTTTCTCGTCTCGTGTTGTGTTTATCTCGCGTTTATTTTTTTAACCGCGTCAGAGCAAATGCGTCTGTTGTTGTTGTTATGTGTGTGTTTGTGTGTTTGTGTAGGGGCAGCAGCAGCAGTTGCCAGTGTAATAAAGCCCTGATGAGAAAAAAACCCCACAAGAATAGACTTTTATCCTTTTCTGACAATAAAGCAAGAGTTATGTTAAGATGTTCACAACGCATCAAGGCTACATGAACCACACGTACTTGTTGCAATACATCAATACATGCAAACAAAGTTGCTCTGATAATGTATGCGTCGTCGTTGAAATTGATTGGCCTCCACCAGTGTCAGACCAGAGAACGCCAAAAGGTGAATAGTTACAAAGGAAATGCTAATTTCAAAGCGTGAATCGCTTTGGTTGAGCCGCTATATCTATGGGTCCTTTTTGCCAGTATCAAAATAATGAAAAAAATAAGTAATATTTTAAAAAAACCTTTTTTAAACGCACTTTCATGAAATGTACCGTAGTCATAATGGCAGGACTCCACGACTCCAGGAAGTGGCCCCGAAGCTTGCCATAACGTAAGGAACTGTGGTGATTTACAGCCAACGTGAGTTGAGCGTGGACAATTAGACCCAAGCCGAAACATAACATATGAAAAATAATGTTTAAAAATATATATATTTTTTAATAATAGAATATAGTATTGTCATCAGTATGACATAAGTATACCAAGTTTGCAGTCGATACCACATTGGAAAGTGGGTTAAAATTGAGTTACAAGATTTGAGGATATGAGAACAACAACCACAACGACAGACAGAGTGAGTTAAATGAAAGCGTGTAATAAAATAAGAATTGGCTTCGCCCATTCTGGCAATAACACATGAGCTGTGAAGATGTTCAGACACCAAATAGACACACCTGTTGCAAGGCATCAACACGTCTGCATTAACCACGCACAGAACTCGTGGCAAAACATGCAAACAGACATGGCAAAAAATTAACCCGTAAAACAAAGTTTTTCACTATAAATCCTTTATATGCGTGGCATCGGGGCGGCTAGAGTCCTCTCGTCCTCTGGCTTGAGATGGCTGCCACCTATGGGTCAGATGATTGTCTGGCAGCATTAAACAATTGGTAATTAAATATTTAATTTGTTTTCCCTAAAAAGTGTAAAATTTTGGAAAAAAAATTTCACGAAAATAAATTGTCACGCACAACGAGTCTTTGTGCAAAATGTCAGCTCGATTGGATCACGGGAAGTGGGTTAAAAACGACCGAAAGATTTGCACGGTCGTAAGCAAGCAAGCACGCAAGCACGCAAGCAAGCAAGCGAACTTAATATAAAGGATTTAAAAAGGTCCCATAGTAAAGCCCTGATTGGCCGATGCAACACAGAGGTGTCATGGTTTCACCGTAGTTGGGGATGATCAGTGTGCAGCAACTAACCCCCTCATGCCAGCGTCTCTACTGCCCAGTGAAAGCTGTCTTACTATGAGGATTGCGTTACACGGCCTGGATTTTATCAACACACACACACTGCTGATGTTTCTGTAAGATCATCATCATCATCAGCGTCGTTATCATCGGCATCGTCAGTGTTATAAGTCTACAGAAACAGGGTTACGTTGTCTTCTTGGTCCTTTCGGTAAAGTCACGTAGAAGGGAAGTAATAAAATAATAAAAATAAAACATAATTAAATAATTCTCACGACGTTTCGGCCACAATGCAAGCAGCCGTCCTCAGGTCTGTCGGGGAGACAGCGTCTCTCCGACAGACCTGGTCTTCACCTGAGGACGGCTGCTTGCGTTGTGGCCGAAACGTCGTGAGAATTATTTTATTATGTTTTATTTTTATTATTGTATTACTTCCCTTCTACGTGACTTTACCGAAAGAACCAAAAAGATGAATCCCTGCAGTCACGAAAGCTTTAAATCGAAGGGTTACGTTGCCTTGTCAATGTTTATGTTCGGATCTTATTTTAATGACGTTTCAAGTTTATTGGCAGCAGCGAGGGTTGGTAGATCACCGCACACACGCAGATAATGTTGTGAAACTCCCATCCCATGGGGGTCGAGCAGTTGCCGTATCCCTGGCTCGCCAGGAGAGGGCGCTACAGCGAAGGTGGACTAATCGGCTTCTGTTTATTACATCTGTACAGGGATAGAGAGTTGCATCCATCGTGCAAGGCATGACAGTTTTTTTTTCTATTCTGAGTGCTCCTTTTTGCTCCCACATTGAGCCGTTGACATCTTCATACATAGAGGACTGCAGAGTTTGGGCAATTGTTGGTAGCGCCGGCTCCTCAACACCGCTGGATGGATTGGTAGAACAGGTGCTACTGGGTGGATTGGTAGAACAGGTGCTACTGGGTGGATTGGTAGAACATGTTCTGGGTGGATTGGTAGAACAGGTGCTGGGTGGATTGGTAGAACATGTTCTGGGTGGATTGGTAGAACAGGTGCTGGGTGGATTGGTAGAACAGGTGCTGGGTGGATTGGTAGAACAGGTGCTGGGTGGATTGGTAGAACAGGTGCTGGGTGGATTGGTAGAACAGGTGGTGCTGTGTGGATCGCCACATTGCAGGATCATAAACAGCCGACGTTTAAAAGTAGAGCAAATATTTGTTTAAGAAAAAAATAACAGCAAAAAATTGGTCACGCCGTACCTTTATGTGCATAGAATGTATAGTACAACATCGGCAGCTTTAGATGCATGGGTCCGATTTGAATTTGCCGTGGCGGTGTAGTGTCGTTGTAATAAATATAAATTACATGAGATTGTTGTTTGATTGCGGTGGCATTTTAAGACTGGGGATGTGTTCGTCTGTAATGTTTAATTGTTTTCGTTTTTCATATTAAAGTGACCGTGGAAGTTATATATAAACAAAGGTGGGAGTGTGTCTCAAAATGCATGGTGTAAAAAATTAACCCGTAAAAACAAAGTTTTTCACTATAAATCCTTTATATGCGTGGCGGCTAGAGTCCTCTCGTCCTCTGGCTTGAGATGGCTGCCACCTATGGGTCAGATGATTGCCTGCCACCATTAAGCAATTGGTAATTAAATATAATTTTTTTCCCTTAAAAGTGTAAAGTTATGGAATTTTTTTCACGAAAATAAATTGTCACGCACAACGAGTCTGTGTGCAAAATGTCAGCTCGATTGGATCACGGGAAGTGGGTTAAAAAACGGCCGAAAGATTTGCACGGTCGTAAGCGCGCAAGCAAGCAAGCAAGTGAACTTAATATAAAGGATTTTAAAAGTGCTTATACAGGTGGTGGTCGTGGTGATAATACAAATTATGCCAATGATGATGAGGATGATACCCGCAACTGGACAAAACTATATTACACATGTAAAATAAAACAATTGGCTACGCTGAGAATCAATGTTTTTCTTGTTCACTGCTGGATTGATGAAGGCTTCCCTATGCAGTGTCAGATTGTTGACCATACTTCACCACGATGGCGAATTGCCCGATGATGCTGGATGCAATTACCAGCGAAACGTCGTACTCAAATTGTAAATGTTGTGGCTTCAACACACCGGTAGGCTAAAGCAGTGAACTATTTGTCTTTTGTCAACGTGACACTTTTTTACTGATTGGCCGTGTCGGGTGGTGGAGGGTTACGACACATTTATAAAAAACGCGATCTAAACCCAAAAACGTTGATTATGAATAATATTGGTCGCGAAAGCCTACGTGTTAAACGGTCGGTGTCAGTTGGTGAAGTCGCTTGCACGGGAGACAGCAGTGAGAGTGTGCCCAGGACCGGTTCGGATATCGGATATCAGAATCATTATTGAAACTGGAGGAATCCGATGAGTTATGAAGCTATTTTCCATGCATGTCCAACATGGGCTAACATCACTAAACCACTGACGTTGGCTATAAGCAGGAATCGAACACCAGGTCGATTGGAATCACAGGGTCATGTGCTAATCATTTGCTCAATCACGCTCCTCGACGACGATGGTGATGATGGAAAATGATTCATAATCAACGTTTTTGGGGGGTTTAGATCGCGTTATTTATAAATGTGTCGTAACCCTCCACCACCCGACACGGCCAATCAGCAAAAAAAGTGTCACGTTGACAAAGGACAAATAGTTCACAAAGGGATGCGAATCAACCAGGTCTTCAGTTCAGGCAAGCACCTCGGTGACGATGATGATGATGATAACGATGTGTAAGACAAATCCGTAATTATCATATATATTCGGGGGGGACACATCCCCCCAATATTCAAATATGCTCACAATGTCCCCCCCCCCCCCCCCAATATATTGCTATAAAATAGATTTCTGTTTATATGATTGTGGTTATGGTTGTACTTTATCAATCCCGAATCTCTGCCATTACATACAATGAAACAAGAAAAGGTAAAAAAACAAAAAAACAGAGCAATGTAATACAATACACTATTAGACATTATTGTTAAAAATAAATCAAAAGTCCATCCTATGTGTTAGTGAATTTTTGTAATATTTTAGGCAGGAAATTCGTTTTCAAATTCAGATTTTTTTTCTGGGGGGGGGGGGACCCCCTGGAAGATTTGCTCCCCCCCCCAATGTTGACTCCATGGATACGGCCTTGGTGTGAGATATCCAGATTTTATCTAGAATTGAAGCTTTCGCGACTACAGAAATTGCTATTCTCATTTTTCTTTCGGTACAATTTTTATAAATAAAATAAAATTAGATTAATCTAATTGTATGTTATTTATTTCAATTAGATTAATCGATTTAAAGCTTTCGTGACTGCAGGGATTCATCTTCTTGGCTCTTTCGGTAAAGTCACGTGACTTTATTTTATTTATTAAAATTGTATTTTATTTCTACATACGTGACTTTACCGAAAAAACACAATGAGTATATCCAGATTTGTTTTATTTTATTTCAATGTTATCACGAATGTGCTGAGCTCAGGCCCAAGTGTTCCACGGCGCCTATCCGCCAGCAAACACACACCCACCATTGAATGTGTGATCGAGAACAAGTGAATGCTCACGAACAGGTGTGATAGAAAACGAACAGTTCACATACTCGCGACAAGTTTAGAGATTTTTAAACTTTTGAGAACTTTGACAATCATTCGTGGTGACATTCAGAAAATTTTTTTTTTTTTCGGATTTTAGACTCAAAACGTACGCTGCTCAATAACAACGGAACCAACCACGTGACGCGACGCAAACAGTGACGTCACCCAATGCCACGTGCGGAGGGGAAAGGCAACGACGGAGGCGACGTCATTTCCTGTGACGTCACAAATTGGGATCAAGAGGCCGTCCATAAATGACGTCACGCACCTAGGGGGGGTGGGGGGTCAGACATTTGTGACGATGTGTGACGAGGGGAGGGGGGTTTGAGAAATGTGACGTCACATCAAATGCGCAACTTTAAATAAATGTAGACAACACGTTCTACTTAATTAAATAGACTTTTTGATAAATGTTTTCTCCTACAACATCAGAATGCAGCGCCACATTAAATACAAAAATCGCGTGACGTCATTTATGGACGGCCCCCAATCTGAAATAAAAAAAATTCCAATCACACTATATTATACTATATCTATTATCTATCCTATCTAAGAAGCACATCCATAACGAATGTTATCATCGACACAAACCGAACAAGGTTGCGAGAACCCTGGTGGGAGGGAAGAGAAGACAGCGGCGACAGTGTCCAGTACAGCAAGTAGGTCTCGGTGCCACGGCAGAGAAACGGAGCTTCA